GCTGGCTGAGGAATTCTGGGAGTTGAAGTCCACAAGTCTTAAAGTTGCCAAGGTTGGACACCCCTGAACTAGACGTAAGGAAATAGGATAGCGGAGTGGGAGAAAATAATTTAACCTGCTCGCTTTCCTCAAGTGTATGGAGTGGAGCAACCATGAAAATCCAAGCATTCCTGCTTATTGTGCTTCTGAAGGATCAAAGCCTCTCGGACTGAAAGCATCCTTGGAAGTTGCTGAAATTGGTTTGTGACGGCGTTTCCTGCTACCTCCGACATTCACGGGGGTGGGGTGGGGGGGTGTCTTCGAGATCAAAAGCCCTCAAAGACTCATCCTCCGTAAAATTTATTCCAACAGGTTTAAAAGCCACCTGAGCTAATGGCCACGATTGGTGGTGAAGCGTCTCACGGGATGAAAGAGTCTGCGTGGAGTTTGTGTGCTTTCTTTTATCTACGCCACTTCTTCCACCGGAGTCAGGTTTTGGTTCTACTGTCTGGAAAGGTCCAAAAAGGACCTCTGTCTGCCCACTTTCTTTACGCCGCAAGGAGTGAATTTTAAAATGCTTCGATCACATTGGTTGCAGCCAACCGTATTACTAATTGAAGAACGGCAGGGATTCACTTAACAGATGTGGCGAGACAAGTCGTGAAATGGGGCAAAACTCACTTAGCAACATACATTTTGGGGCTCTGTCATGGTCGTATGTTGAGGACAACCTATAAATTTTCTAGCCTTACCTCATAGAGAGACTCTTTTAGCTCCCTGATAATTCTGCCTCTCTCGTCTGCACTTTTCCTGTGCTCCATTACCTCTTTTCTTTCAAATGTGCAGATCTTACTGCGTTTGTCACGGTAACTTAGCAAACTCAATCATGGGAGCATGGATGGGGTAGGAGCATAGATAGGGGAGTGGTGGGATTCAAATTTTGTTACTACAGGTTCTGTGGGCGGGGCTTGGTGGGCGTGGCAGGGGAAAGTTACTGCAAAATCCCCATTCCTTCCCCACCCCACTAGCCTGCTTTCCAGCTCCGTTCTCCTGGGCAGGGCAACCAAAGGAGACCCAGCCGATCAGCTGGAACTCAATGGGGGGCAGGGAAAAGATGGGGTTGGCGAGGCCAGTCAGAGGTGGGGTTGGCCGGTTCTCCCAACTACTCAAAATTTCCGCTACAGGTTCTCCAGAACTAGTCAGAACTGGCTGAATACCACCTCTGGCGTAGGGGGAAAAAGTGATCAACAACATGAAAATGTCCTTCTCATCTCCAACATACAGGTAACTCTCAACTTACATATTTGTTTGTTTAGTGACCACTTGTGATGACCTGGTGTGTAACTCAAACGTAACAAAATCCAAAACGTAAATGTCCTTTAATGCCTCCAACTTGGCCCCACTGTTCAATAATTCTCAGTTGGAGATAAAACGTATTCAAAAATAGTCTTCAGAAGAAAGCAATACTTAAGCAAACTTAATGAGCAGATAGAGGTGAAATAAAAAAACCCAAAACAAACTACAATGAAGGAATTTCCACAACGGACCAAGATAAGTAATTACCAACTTCAAGAGATAACAAGGCACAGTCTGTTGGAAGGACGCCAAACAAGATAACTTCAGCCCAAAATAACAGACGCTTTGCTTCTGGCAACGCTGTGTTTTACGTGTCTCTCTGATATATTATTCTCCCCAGCAGCAACCAATGAGGGGAATCATGGCCGCTTCCTCTCTCGTAAGCCAAGTTGTTTCCTTCTCCGTCCCTCCCTGTGTGTCCTAGGATGAAGAGGGGATGTGCCTGGGTCCTCCTCTGACTGCCCAGCCGGCCTCTTCCCTTTCCCAGCCTCCTCCACAACCTCCTGAGCCACACTTCCACCCCCTGTCGGCTGTTCCTCTTCTCCCTCAGAGTCCAACTCTAACAAGGGCATGACACTCATTTAACAAATGTCTCACTTAGCAACAGAAACGTTGGGCTCAATTGTAACCCGAGGACCAACTTTAAGCAGTGGGTGGGACAGAAAACATCCCTTTCAGGAGTTCTTCGCAGAAAAAAAAAGACAGGTTTTTACGAGAAAAGATGGCTGTTCCCAGCCATTCGCATTTATCCTTTCTGTAAAGTCTGATGAAAACTTAAAACACTGAGCAGGAAAAACTCTGGAAGAGACTTTTTGCTCACGGAAGAAACCTAACGACAAAATTCACAATGGAACAAAATGCAAACCGCAGTCCACTTAACCCTGTTTTTTTCTGAATAGGGAACATGGGAGCTCGTGACGACAATGGCAGTGGGTAGTTCTGAGATGCCGTTTTATAATTGGCAATCAGGGATAAAATGGCACTGCCCTCTTCCTTTCACTTATGTGAATCTCCATTAGCTCTGCTGCTGCTAAACGCTGCTTCTTCGCGGTGCTTGGAAAGCCTTGCTTGGGCGCACGAGTCACAAGACTTAATCTATGATGACTGTGCACAATCGCCTCCTCTTTAATAGCAGGGCTGTCTCCGTTACATAAAGAGACCGCTATTGGTTGGGGGGGGGGGAAATACTCCAGCACAAAACACAACAGGAGCAGCAAATTAAGATTCCAATGGGAGGTAACCACAAATATTGCATCTTGCAAATATCACAGGTAAATTCAAACACTGAAATAAACCCAGGGGAGTGGCCGTAATGTTTTCTTCTCCAATGCAATATATACCAATATTGGTCAGCAGCACATTTCTTGTACACACTGGCACATGTTAAAAAAGACATTCTGATGCCCGCTCTCAAAAGTATATATGTGCGTGGTGTGTGTGCATGTGTATATGTGTGTGTGTGTGTGTATAGTAAGAAGATATAATACTGTAGATTGATTGATTCATATGCTATACATACAAACATATATATTAACCACAGTCCATTTCAAATACATATTTATTTACCTTTCGTAGTTGGTTTGTGAAAAATAATGTCTGTAACAAACTGTTCATGTAGCAGGTTGCACCTTGGTTCTTCAGCCCCACATAACCTGTGTGCTTCTTTGAGTCCCATCTGGAATATTCAAAGAATTGGGATATAAGAATTGGGCATACACACGTTTACACACACACACACACACCACTGAAACCAAGCTAGAAGCTTGGTTTTCATCAACGAAATCCGGCTGGTTCAAATTTAACAGTCAGCAAATCGCGCATCTGTTATGAAGCAATTAGGATAACAGTACACATGTTCAGAATTCTGAAGTCTTTTCAAGACTTCGAACAAAGCAACAATACCAAAAAGAGAAATTAAAAACAAAGATGCAGCAATTTGCAAAGAAAAAGTCACGTGTCTGAAAAATGAAAGCTGCTTAGAAGCTTTGCCCCTGTGAAATGATTTGTTCGAAACTGAATTATTGACCATAATGCTAAAATTTATAAGCAACAGAGTCTATACTGATTCTACAATATGGGTAGTCCCTGACTTTCGACCACAATTGAGCCAAAATTTCTGCTGCTAAGTGAGACGTTTGTTAAGTGAATCACTGCAGTTGTCAAGTTAGTCACATTGTTGTAAAATGAATCTGGCCTCCCCCATGGACTTTGCTCGCCAGAAGGTTGCAAAAAAGGATCACTGGGGCACGGCAACTGTCATAAATATGAACCAGTTGCCAAGCCATCTGCATTTTGATCACATGACCCTGGGGGATGCTGCAATGGTCTTAAGTGCCACAGTGGTTAGAATGTGGTCCTGCCAGCTACTTCTGCAGTTCAAGCTCAAGGTTGACTCAGTCTTCCATCCTTCCGAAGTGGGTAAAATGAGGACCCAGATTATTAGGGGCAAGAGACTGTAAACCGCTTAGAGAGGGCTGTAAAGCACTGTGAAGTGGTATATAAGTCTCTAAGTGCTTAATGTTATTGCTATGAAAAATGGTCATAAGTCACTTTTTTCAATGTCGAAGTAATTTCCGTCACTAAATAACTGTTGTAAGTCAAGGACTCTCCATGTCCTGTGGAGAGAGGAGGATTACTGTGTAGACCAGTGGTGGATAACCTTTTTGGGCTCCTATGCTGAAAATTGCGTGTGCGCTCGCATGCCAGCACCCAGAAGACTACCCTGCCCTCTTACCTGCACTGCGTGCCTCCCAGCTGATTTTCGGCCCGTTTGAGGCCTTTTTCGGCCTCCCAGAGGCTCGAGGGAAGCCTCTGCAGCCTTTGGAGGCCGAAAAATGGGCCCATTTCATCACTTCCGGTATTTCCAGAAATACAGGAAGTGACGAAACGGGCCTGTTTCCAATACCCTGTTCACTAAAACCCTGGGAAGGATCGAAACGGTGTTCATTTCTTGATTTTTGAAAGCAATTAAGGAAAGGACTTTCTACTTTCTGAAGACAATCCTTTCCTCCAAGATGAACAAAGGACCTTGTGAGAGATGGACCAAGCTGGGGAATCTCTCAAGAAAACCTGACTTCTGAAGTTGGGAGTGTTTCACCACTGGAGGTTTTCAGGAAAACACTGAACAGCCATTTGTCTAGGTGGTATGAGGATTCCTTCACTGGTGTGTGTGTGTGTGTGTGTGTGTGTGTGTGTGTGTGTGTGCGCGCGTGTGTCCCCGTCCGTCCGTCCTAGAAGAACTTGAAGGTCTTTCCAAGAAACCAGCTCCATTTGAAGGAAGATCCTGTAATTACAATCCCTCCTTCTTCCATTTTATGTCAGTTCCTTAGAAGAAAATTGAAAACATGGTAGGGATTGTTTGTTAAACTTGTTAACTAATGTATTAATTAGGCAAGGATTACATGTGAGAAGGTGAGAAGGAGTAAGTCTTTGACTTGGTGAAAGAGATTTAAGATAGAAAAATATGAGTTTTCCCTCTCTTAACCCCACCATTTAAAAAAAATGTAATGTTTCTTAAAAATAGCTCATAAGTCTGAAAACGGAAAAAAACCTGCAAAGGAAAAAGTTAAGCAAGTTATTTTTCCCCCTCCAAGAAAGAAAAAAAGAGCAAAGGCTACTTACGCCACACCATGCGGAGCATCAGCCTGAACATAAACTTCAAAAGTGACTTTGTCATCTTCTATGTAGCCTTTATCTGGATCAGTAACTTCCTACCAAAAAAGAAAACGAGAGAAGGAAAGGATTGAACCAAGAACATCAAAACCAGACGCAATAATCTTTTGGGCTCTTCCGTTCCTGAAAGGTCATGTTTCAATCTGCGGCTCAAGTCAATACAAACACACATCAATTTTTATCACTGAGCTCAAATGATATGGGGATGTCTCAAGCTGTCAACAGATGGCCGTTTCGAGAAATCAATAGAAGCCACTGACAGCTTGACAATTGCAAACACAATTAACTGGGAGGCAAAGGGGACTGGTAGGGGTGCGGTGCAGAGCCACTTCTTCTATTATAGAAGTTGCTTCTTGTCTGTTCCTGATCTTAGAGAGCTGCTGAGAAGGTATTTGTGAACACAAAGTTAGTTTTTGAGAGCTCTGCATCTCAGGATGCTTTAATGAGACTCCGCTTGGTTGTCCTGCAATTTGACGCCAAGGATTTCAGATGACGAAGGCTTCACTCCACAAAGAAGTTTCTGAAAAAATTACTTTAAGCTAAGAGGGGAAGGAGAGAAGATAAGGTGGCCAAGCTACCCACAACTCCACTTCAACCTGGCTTGTGATGTGTCCGGGGGTTTCCAACCTTGGCAACTTTAAGACTTACGGACTCTGCTGCTGAGGAATTCTGGGAGGTGAAGTCCCCAAGTGTTAAAGTTGCCAAGGTTGGAGACTCCTATTCTAGTTCATCCAACACAGAATGGGACAACTCGCCACAGACAAGCCGCCCCGGAACAATTCAAATTAATTATTCAAATTTAATTAAAATAATTTAAAAAAATATTTTAATTGTTGTCATTCACGTTTCATTTTGTCCCTTCTTTGGCATCCTTTTTTTAATGATTAAATAATGATTCTATTCTACCATTTCTTTGATATTACAACCCTTGTCCCCATGGCAAGTTGGCCGTAGCAAGTTGGCTATGGCAAACTGTCCTAGACCCCATGCAACATGCCACGCCTGCCTCCCCCCCATCCCCAGTGGCAAGCAGTTACTTACACTCCAAGACATAAAATTGGAAAAGCCCCAATCGTTTTCCTTATGAAAGAATAAGTGGCTGATGCGGCGACTGAAAGATTTCTCATCGTCCTTGTAATTTATTATCTTGAGGACTGCCTGCGCATGACAAGACCATGACCTGCGATAATTAGAGAGATAACACTTGACACACTGTGTTGCAGAAAAGCCACTCATAAATTACATTTTACTGAGCAAGCCTCTTCATTTCTTGTCACTCCTGGATTTAAAAGTTTCTTTTGGTAACCACCCAGAAGTGGTAGCCATTATTAATATCCTGGAAGCAATTTATGAACCGCTTCACCTTTAAACAAAGTTTTTTTTAAAAAAAATGCTACTTCCCACATAAATTTTCCATTTCATTTGATTATTTTCTTCTACAGAAGGTTAAAAATGTTACTCCTTTCAAGCAGTAACATAACTCCTCAAAAACTTTCGAAAACTGGCTGGGGAATTCTGGGAGTTGAAGTCTACACCCCTGCAAGTTGCCAAAGGTTGAAATACCAGCCTGGACTAAAACAAGTCACTGTTCTCATTATGTTCTCTGAGGCTACCAACCCTGTAGCCAACACCCAATTTTCAGAAGTGACAAATGAGTCCTCTGCAGGTGTGCCTAGAAGTTGAGTCATGGCAACTGGATTTCTTTTTGGTTGGAAATGTTTCACGGCTGATCAAAGTAGCTTCTTCTTGGATCTACTTGGATAAGGAGGGAAACGTTTCAAACCAAATAGAAAAGATCTCTGGTTGCCATGACTCAACTTCACATTTCCACATGCAGAAAATTTTATGGCTCTGCATTCAAGAGAGGTTGGGATGACCTGGGGTGTGGCACAAAGGCAACACAGTCAGATAATCAATAAGAGTCCCTTTATTAGCTCCAACTTTGCCACCAATGCCCTGTTACCTTCTGGGTTGGAAAAAAACTCTCCCAGGAACAGCCTTTGGCTGCAGAGAATCAAGTCCAAAACATGGTCAACAAAAACTGTAACTTTAAGTCCAAACAAGCCAAACTGCAGTAATTAGTTTGGCCGGGCAGGAGCGAGAATTCCAGACTTGAAGGCACGACAATAACTCAACACGGTTGGGAAGATACCCGGAACACAGATAAGCAACAACAACATAAGATAAAGTCACATTTGCTCCCAACAGCTGCCGCACACAGCCTGCCTTTCTTATCAACTGTCTTCTCAGCTGTGGCTAATGAAGGGAATCAGGGCCCTTTCCTCCCCCCTAAGCGACACACCCCACATTGCTCCCTTCTCCGTTCCTTCCTGCGTGCCCTAGGATGAAGAGGGGGTGGGCATGGGTCTTCCTCTGAACCCCCTCTCCCTTGTTTTACCTCTTCCCTGCTCTGCCCAACCGGACTGTGCCCTTCCCAGTTTCCTCCACAGCCAACGGAGCCACATTCCCATTCCCTGTCAGCTGTTCGACTTCCTCCTCAGATTCAGACTCTGACAGGGGCATGACAGAAGTGCTGCATATCCATTCATAATGGGACTTACGTGGAATCAGACTCTGCGTTGCACTGAAGAAAGAATCCTACGCTCTTTTGGTGTGGCCTGTCTGGGTAAAGCCGTGGCATCACCATGATCTTCCAGGGCAGGTTCCGCACAAAGCAGGGTGGGCTTAGGACCGATTCACTCAGCCGGTTGAAACGCTCAACCGTGAACTGAAACGTCGCTTCTGACCGCCAGCTCGTGTCTGCAAAATAAGGAAACAACCATTCCGAGAGTCTGCAGCCTTCTCCGTGGGTCTCCCAACGAGAGATTTTACATCACTGGTTCAGTAGTCCCCGAATTATGATTTGACATTTGTGATCATCCAAAGTTACAATAAAAAGGCACCTATAATGAGCCGTGGTGACACAGTGGTTAGAAGGCAGTACTGCAGGCTAATTCTGCTGACTGCCAGAAGTTTGATTCTGACTGGCTCAAGGTGGACTTGGCCTTCCACCCTTCCAAGGTCGGTAAAATGAGGACCAAGATTGTTGGGGGCTACAGGTGGCCTCTCTAAACCACTTAGAGAGGGCTGGAAAGCACTATGGAACAGTATATAAGTCTAAGTGCTATTGTTATTTATCTACCACCCATCCATCCATCCCTCTCTCTCTATCTCTCTCACTGTGGTGGTTCAGTGGTTAGAATGCAGTATTGCAGGCTGACTCTGCTCACTGCCAGCAGTTCGATCCTGACCAGCTCAAGGTGGACTCAGCCTTTCATCCTTCTGAGGTGGGTCAAATGAGAACCCAGGTTGTTGGGGGCAAGAGGCTGCGTCTGTAAACCACTTAGAGAGGGCTGTAAAGCACTGTGAAGCGGAATATAAGTCCAAGTACTCTTGCTATAACTGGGATCCAAAGTTCTAATGGCTGGGGTCCCCAGCAGTCACATGATCGCATTTTGGGCACCCAACAACTGGCCTACTTTCATAGCAGCCATTTGCCACATCCAGTGGTCATGTGGTAGTGGTTTACAATGTTTTTTTTTGGGGGGGGGGGGGGGAAAAAAACAGTGATTGCTTCCGTTTCCCAGCACAAAATGTCTACTGCAGACAATGGGTTGGCTTAATGACTGGGAATTTACCATGGTGATTCAATTAACTACCATTGCAAAAAATGTCATAAAAATGAGGTCAGTCATCGGATACCCAATGCTAAGTCTGTACAGAAAAAGAGACCCATAACACATGGTTTGGGGGGGGGGGGGGGACTGCCTTCTCCTTGGCTCGATTCCACTGATGAACACTTGTTCAAATAAGGATCCCTATCGCAAAACAATTGTAAAATGAATTGTTTCACAATGGTTTTCAAGCATGATTGTAAGATGCCCAGAGCTACCTGAGGTAAGATGGGCAGCCTATAAATTTTACCAATCAATCAATCAATCAATCAGTGCCCTATAGTGAAGTTTTCAATTAGGCTGTGGTGACCGATTTTCTGCTCCATTTCCATTTCCCAAAATAAAAGTGAACTTTAGAAGTTGGCTACAGAATTCAGAAGGTGTTGGGCATCTCCTCAACTTTTCAAAAAAAAAAATCCATCTAATCCCCATATGGTTCAATATCAACATATCACCATCAGAATCAGTTGTCTGGCTATTCAGAGTCGGGTGCCTCATCCTCTCAGTGATTTTCAGCTTTCCTTCCCCACCTTTCACCCAATTCTATGGATACAGGGAGCACTAGGTTGATTTCTCAGGGCTGAGAGATGCTGGATCTCAACTAACCAGCAGAGCCTCACTCTGGCACAGACACTAAGTTGCACTAACAGAGGGATACAGTCAAGATCAAGTGAGGTACTACTACCACTCTATAAAGCCTTAGTAAGACCACACCTAGAGTACTGCATCTAGTTTTGGTCACTACACTATAAAAAAGATGTTGAGACTGTAGAAAAAGTGCAGAGAAGAAGAGCAACCAGGATGATGAGGGGACTGGAGGCTAAAACTTGTGATGAACGGTTGCAGGAACTGGGCATGGCTGGTCTAGGGAAGAGAAGGACCAGAGGAGACAAGAGAGCAGTCTTCCAATATTTGAGGGGCTGCCAAAGAGAGGAGGAAGGGGGTCAAGCTATTTTCCAAGGCGCCCAAAGGCCAGACAAGGGACAATGGATGGAAACTGAACAGGGAGAGATTCAACCTGGAATGAAGGATAACTTTTCTGACAGTGAGAACAATCAACCCATGGAACAGAAGTTGTGGGAGCTTCATCACCGGAGGCTTTCAAGAAGAGATTGGACTGCCCTCTATCAGAAATGAAGGATCTCCTGCTTGGGCAGGGGGTTGGACTAGGTGACCTACAAGGTCCCTTCCAACTCTGTTAATCTAATCTAATCTAATCTAATCTAATCTAATCTAATCTAATCTAACCTAACCTAACCTAATCTAATATTAAGTGTGAGCCTGGCTTGTCCAACAGAACACCGTTAAATCAAAATTTGCCTAGCATGGTGAATTCTTAGCCTGTGAATTTAAGCTGAGAAATGGAGATGCACTGTGAACCTTTTCTGTGTGCATTATGTGCCTTAAAATGAGTCAGTTTCAACTCCTACCAACTACCCAGATAGGTCCCAAGTAATTTTCTTGGCAATATTTTGAAAGAGGCTCTTCCTAGGGTGGAGAGCATGGCTGTCAAGTCATCCAACAGGCTTTGTGTGTAAGGCAGGACTAGAACTCGCAGCCTCCCAGTTTCTAGCCTGGGCTCTTGTACGATGACCGCAATCCAGCTCAACATTTCTGTTGCTAAGTGAGACATGTGAGTGAATCTTGCCCCCACTTTACAACCTTTCTTGCCACTGTTGTTAAGTGAATCACTGCGGTTAATAAGTTGGGAACATGGTTGGTAAGTGAATCTGGTTTCCCCATTGTCAGAAGGTCGCAAAAGGGGATCACGTGACCCCAGGATGCTGCAATCATCACGAATATGAGCCAGTTGCCAAATGCCTGAATTTTGATCACGTGATCCTGGGGAATGCTGCAACGGCCGTAAGTGTGAAAAAATGGCCATGTCACTTTATTTCCAGTTGTCACTAAATGGAACGTTGTTAAGTCAAGGACTACCTGTACTACAGCAAAGTGGCTTAACATCTTTTGGCAAAATATCTCAATAAGAAACTGAATTAGCTGTCAATAACGTTTATTGAAGTTTGCTTTATGGCCACATCCTGTATTTCCTAAGGAAGTGCCACTGAGTTCAAGTCAACATGACTCAGGATTTTCCTAAAAAAATGTGAATGATGTTTTGGATGTGAAGCTGACTCATGTCCTCCCACCTTCTAATTTGCTGGAGTTTTTGGTAGCCTTGGCGTGAGCGAACATGAATCCTGGCAGGAAAGAAGATTTGAGCTAGCAGCTGTATTACTGTACAAGTGTATATTATTTTTTTAAAATTGCATTTATCTTAGTAAGAATAGAATAGAATACCTTTATTGTCATTGCATTCTACAAATACAATGAAATTTGAAAGTTACTCCAGCAGTGTCCCAAACACCACTTCACAATCACACTACAGAGTATTTAAAAATTAAATAATTCAAATAATAAATTAAAAACCTAGTCTAAAACCTATCGAAAACATATAGTAAGTTAGATAGTTTAAAAACGCCACTATATACATAGGGCTAAATCACATATGCATTGTTTGATTCAAGACAATTATTGCCTTGGAAAAGAAACTGTTTCTCAGTCTATTAGTCCTCATTTTAAGACACCTATAACATCTCCCTGATGGCAACAATTCGAAATATGAATGTCCAGGTTGAGAATGGTCTGTGGAGATTTTTAGTCCTCTAGAGAGGAGTCTTGTCTTCGCAATCTCTTCCAAAGAAGAAAGAGAGCAACCGATGATTTTTTGTGCTGTGTTTATAACTCCCTGGAGTATCTTCTTATCCACTGCAGAGCATCCAGCATACCACACACAGTATGCCAGAATGCTCTCGATGGTAGAACGGTAAAAAGTAACCAGCAACTTCTCACCCAGACCACTCTTTTTCAGCAGCCTCAGAAAGTGCAGGCACCGTTGGGCCTTCTTTGCAGTGGCCATAGTGTGGACTGACCAAGTAAGGTTGTTAGAAATCTGAGTTCCTAGAAATTTAAAACTACGAACTCTTTCCACACAGTCTCCATTGATATATAGTGGGAGAGGCTCTGCTTTGCATCGTCTGAAGTCTATAATCAATTCTTTTGTCTTTTTGATGTTCAGGGCGAGGTTATGACTCTTGCACCACAAGACCAGTCTGAGAACCTCTGACCTATAGGCTGTTTTGTCTTCTCCTGATACGAGTCCCACCAACGTGGTGTCGTCTGCAAATTTTATTATAGAGTTAGTGGGACAAGAGGGAGTGCAGTCGTAGGTGTAGAGTGAATGCAAAAGGGGGCTCAGCACACAACCCTGTGGAGAGCCAGTGCTGAGAACAAGAGTGGAGGAAAAATAGCTGCCAATCCTAACAGTTTGGGGTCTGTTAGTAAGAAAGTCCTTTATCCAACAGCAGATGTGAGAGGAGAGGCCCATTTCTAGCAACTTCTTAATCAGTATATCTGGAATGATGGTATTAAAAGCCGAGCTGTAATCAACAAAAAGCATCCTTACATAGCTCCCACTATGCTCCAGATGGTTCAATGCAATGTGGAGAAACATGACAATAGCATCCTCTGTGGATCTGTTACTCCGATAGGCAAACTGGTATGGGTCAAGAGTCAATGGGAGGCAATCCTGTATATATTTTAAGACCAGTCTTCCAAAACACTTCATAATTATGGGTGTGAGAGCTACCGGGCTATAGTCATTTAAAGTATCAGGAGAGGGCTTTTGGGGAACTGGAATAATAATGGAAGTGTTAAGACAAGATGGAACAATGGCTTGTGTAAGAGAAAGGTTAAAACTATTTGTAAACACACCTGCGAGCTGGTCAGCCCATGCTTTGAGTACCTTCCCAGGTACCCCATCAGGGCCAGCAGCCTTTTTCACATTCACTGCTCTAAGCACCTGCTTCACATCATACTCTTGTACTGTGAACAGTTGAGTACCAGTGGTTTGTAGAGGCAGTGTGTTCGAAGACCTATTCAGTTCGAATTGGGCAAAGAAGCAGTTCAATTCTTCTGCCAGTGATGCGTCCTTATTGATCGATATGGGGTTGATGCCCCTCTAATTAGTGATGTGTTTGATTCCCTGCCATCATTATTTGTGAAGTAGTCCTCAATCTTCCTTTTATAGTCCTTTTTTGCCTCCTTGATGCCCCGCCTCAGTTCCGCTCTTGCCTTGTTATGCCAAAACGTGTCCTCAGACCTGAATGCCATATCACGAGTCTTGAGAAGTAATTGCACCTCCTTGTTCATCCAGGCTTCTGGTTTGGAAAAATCCAGATGCGCTTATTCACAGTAACCGTATCCACGCAGGTCAAGATGTAAAACAGGACAGTTTTTGTATATTCCTCCAAATCCTCTTGTTCAAATAAATTCCAATTAGTATTTGAGAAACAATCCTGCAGCTGATCAAGTGCTCCCTCCGGCCAGATCTTGATGAGTTTGATTTAAGGGTTAGTTTTCCTTCTGGGGGGGGGGGGTGTATGCCGGTATAAGGAACAGTGATAAATGATCTGAAAGTCCCAGATGTGGAAAGGACACTGCTTTATATGCATGCTTTACATTAGAAGACACATGATAAAATGTGTTGTTTCCCCTGGTGGCACATGTCACATACTGAATAAATTCGGGAAATACAGTCTTTAAGCATGCCTTATTAAAATCACCAGTTTAAGCTTATAATGTCTGCAATGACGCAGCAGGATAAAAACCTACAAGTTGTAAAGTTGTAATAGAGGCGTCTCCTACTTTTCTCTCTGTCTGTCTCTCCCTCCCTCTCTCTGTATATATATAGTCCTCAACTTATAACAGTTCATTTAGTGACCATTCAAAATTACAACGGCACTGAAAAAAAGTGGTTTATGACCGTTTTTCACACTTACAACTGTTGCAACACCCCCATGGTCACACGATCAAAATTTGGACACTTGGTAACTGGCTCATACTTATGATGGTTGCAGTCTCCTTATTTCCAGGTCGAATCTCTCCTTGATCAGTTTCCATCCATTATTCCTTATCTGGCCTTTGGGTGTCTTGGAAAACAGCTTGACCCCCTTCCTCCTCTCTGTGGCAGCCCCTCAAATATTGGAAGACTGATATCATGTCTCCCCTGATTCTTCTCTTCAACTACACTGCACCCTAAGCTACAATTTACAACAAGAGAATCCACATGTTGCTCTAACCCAGATTCAAGAAAACATGATTTGGCAGAGAAAACCACTGACAGAACTGTCTAAAATAACACTCTCTATAGAGGGGGTTAGAAAGACAGTCTTTTCCTTCCAATTCCTAGATTCTGGGTTCATCCATTGAAGATAAATAGTGAGAGATTCAGAACAAATTAAAATGAAGCAATTCTCCACATAGTGCATGACAATTAGCATGTCCAACTGGCAATGAATCCTACTACTTGTTTATCCATCATGTAGGGAATTATTTTGCTTTCTCTGTCCTGTATCCCATTAATTTAATTTAATAATTCTGGTTATGAAAGAGGAAGAAAATGTTCTTTATCCGTTTTATCCGCAACAAGCTTCACCTCAAATGTTTCAGAAGTTTTCTTCCCTAGATAGGTCTCCATAACTAGCATATCAAACCCTTGGGGACTACTTGCTGAAGAAAACAAAGCCAGCTTTCCACATCACCACCAACCTGAGAGCCGGTTTACTCACCATCTTCCATGTCTTCTTCTGTGTTATTGTGACCATCAGCCATGGCTACATTCCCATTGATGACTGGATTTGGGGTAATTCTTGGTGGATCATCGGCATCTCCAGCTTTTGAGGACAAAGAAAACAGAAGCACATCAATAAATGGGGACTGTGCCAGCAGTGTGGACCAATATAGCGAAGGAATGGATAAAGAGTTTTGTCTCAATATGGCAACATTCTGCTTTGTTGGGTTGGCAGTCCTCATGTTACCATGTTGGGAATGGGATGAGGAGCAGGGCAGAGGGCAACAGTAGGGAAATTTTATATATAAATTCAAAAAACAAAAAGAGCATTAAACAGCCACACAACTGTAACACACCATCAATATTCACCTTACTAGTACACTTGAACTGTCTCTTCCTGTACATAAAAGATGGCAAACAGAACAATTTATCAGCAGATAAATAATGTTTGAAAATATTGCCCTTCTAGCTTTGCAAATTACACTTCTAACTTTATCATCTCTCACACACACACACTCCCCCACCCCAAAGAACGTTTGTATTAATAAAATACTTCAGCTCATTTTTCTGGAAAGTAATCCCAAATAAGAAAAATAATAAATATTGTCACAATGGTTTGATGACAGCCTGTTGCTTCTAATTTTCTTTCTACAGTAACCCCAGCTTATTCTTGCAAAAACTACTCAGAATTATTATTCATGTTAAAAGTTGTCAAATCATAGGTTTACACCACTTTTCACTCACAGTGTGATCTGGCAAATTGATGTAAAACTAGTATGTTCTTTTTTCCCCCCATTACAAGTGAAGCATCTGGCCTTCAAAAGGCGATTCAGCACCCAGGACAGAGCTTCATTGGCCTTCATTGCACAGAATTTACCACCAAAGTTATATCACTACAGGTGCTGACTTCAGTGATCTTAGGGAAAAACACAGTGCTGAGTGTAAGAAATTCCAAAAAACAAAAGTTGGCTTCAGAAAGTGTGCTTTGTCTTATGGGAAAACTGTAAAATTTGCTAAGCGCATTATTTTATGCGTTTAAAATGAGTTGGAAAATGCAAGACACAGTTGAGGCCTCTTAATTGTAATAATGTAGAATCCTTCATTATCCCTACAGTCAAACATGCTAACTAGCACAAAAGAGTCATATTTACAGGAAAAGTGCATAAAGAATTAAACCATTCATACCTTAGTGTTGCCAGATTAACAGTTATCCCCCCTCAAAGTCAGAAAAATAGTAGAGCCAGCTGTACCTAAAATATAGTTTGGCCCTTTAATACTCTGGAATTGTATCATTAATATTCTGTTTTCTACTACTGACCTACTGTTTTTTCCTGCTTTGAAAAGTTTTCCAAGTTACTTGGTAATGCTATAACATTTTATTATTTAAGGTAGTATCTCCAAAATGCAAAGTCTTATTTTGCTTGCAGTAATGGAAGTAAAGGATTGCATTTTTAATTCACAACTTATTGTTAGGCAGCAACTAATTTTTCATTATCCTTACAAAGGAATGCCCTTTTGTTTAGGATAGGATTTCCAGCCGTGTGGGGATTTCACTACAACTCTCAATCCTCCCAAGCTGTCAAAGAAATTGCCCACCGTACCTGGAGGTTACTAGGAAAGACTCTTTTATTTAAAGCTAGTTTATTATTACATGTAGTCTTTGACTTATGATTGCAATTAACCTCAAAATTTCTATTCCTAAGCAAGACATTTGTTAAGCGAATTTTGCCTCATTTTACGACCTTTTTGCCACATTTGTTAAGTGAATCACTGCAGTTGTTCAGTTAGTAATATAGTTGTTACATGAATCTGGTTTCCACATTGACCTTGCTTGTCAAAGGGGCGCAAAAAGTGATTACAAGACCCAGAGACAATGCAAGCATCGTAAATATGAATCGGTTGCCAAAAAACTGAATTTGATCACTTGATCAAATGAACTAAATGAGCTTTGTCAGTTGAGGGCTATCTAAATTGCCAACACACAACTTATGAACTAGATACTTGGTGGTCTATAACTAGTTATACCTTCTTGATTTAAACTATTGGACAAACTGAGACTTGTTAAAATAGTCTAAAAATTATGGGATGGGTGGGGTTTTGTTTGTTTTTGTTTTAAATGTGACTGGGTGTGTTACAGTTTTTACCAAATCAAAATAGAGTTTAAGGAGCTTTTACTTCCAGGCTTCTATAAAATATCCACATTGCACCATAAATTGAAACATCATACCTAAACGACTTAGTTGGACACAGTCTGTTCAAATCTGATTAAAAACTTTTCCTGCTCAGTGGCATGCCTCGTTCATATGATATGATTATATAGAGAAATTTTTTCCCAACCTGGTGCCCTGCGGATTTCAAATAATCAACACTGTAGGAAGGGGGCACTCGGTCTATCAAGTCCAATTAAGACTCCAAATTAAAGCATTCAATAGAAGAGAATATTTATAGGTCAGGATTGAACCCACGGGTCCATGGGACTCTCTTGAGCTTGGTTTTCTTGCAGATGGTTCATGACTCAAACCAGGTAACATCATCAATGATGACAATGAATTAAAGCAGTGGTTGCCAACCAGTGGGCCAGGGACCATCGGTGGTCAGCGAGAAAATTTTGGTGGTCCGCCGAGAAATGTCACCCCCAAAGCAATTAATCCAGGCTGTGACCACATGGCCTGCGGGAACACAAGGCTTGCGTCGCTTGCATTGCGAGCAACATGAGGTAGTGAGGGAAGGGGGCGAAGGGCAAAGGGGGGGAACTTGCCCCACTCACCCCATGTGCCTCGCCTGGCCCCCGGGCTGCTTCTTTCCACTTCTTTTTTATTCTGCTTTTGGCTGCACGCAAGGAAAGCAGCAAAAGTCTTTCTTTCTCTCCCCCAAACTCCGCCAGAAATGAGTCTTTGGGACCCTGCAAGGCCTCCTGCTCCAAGAGGTTGTGCCGGCAAAGACTCATTTCTGGCGGAGTTTGGGGGAGAGAAATAAAGACTTCTGCTGCTTCTGCTGCTTTCCTTGCATGAAGCCAAAAGTCTCTCTCTCTCTCCCCCTGAGAATGGAGCTGGAGATGGTATCCTGCGATCCCAAATAAAGAATGGATCAATCAGTAGCAAAAAGGGGTGGGGAATTTTCCTGCAGACTTTTTGGGGGATTTTCCCAGGGTCTGTAGTTTGCGGGATTTAAAATGATGAGTTTGGTGGTCCCTGAGGTCCAAAAGGTTGGCGACCCCTGAATTAAAGCATCCATGTCGGATGATTTTCTAGCTTTGCTGAAACACATTCAGTGAAGATACCAACACTGAGTAATCCGTACTGGTTCCACTGTCAAGGTATTTTTTTTTAATAAGGAATATTTTCCTAACTTTGGGCCTTCCTTCCTTCCTTCCTTCATCCACAAAGTGACTCTGGGCAGCTTACAATGTTAACCATCCTGTAAAATAAAAATACCTTTTCATACTTGCTGTCTGAAACAACAGAAAACAGGTTTCCTTTCAAAGAGGGAAATTTAACATCCCTTTTAGTACTAAAAACACAAATCAGAAGACTTTTTCCATTATTATTTTGAAAAAAAAAGATACATTGGGAATTTAATCAGTGGCACAGGCATTTCCTTTAAAAAAAAATAATTCACAGATTTTACACAAATTTGTGCCAGCTCTGGAAAACGCCAAACTGTCTCGGGGATGGAAAATAGTCCATTCCCGAACCAAGTGGATTTCTTAGATCCAGTCTTTTTGCCCATCCTTGTTAGTCATCTTTACAATCCAGTCTAGTTTGTCACAATCCTTCGTAAAATGCAGTATCCAGAGCTCCATGCAAAATGTGATGAAAAGAGCATCTCATGTGGGAAGATGCAATGTTTTCCCCTTCCCAAATAATTGGGGGAGAAGTCACCTTACATTGATGAGAGGAAAAGACAAATTAGCAGAGAGCTGCCAACGTCACTGCTGAAAAATATGAATGCCTCTGAAGACTGGCCTGAAAAATTAACCTGTTGCTTTGCCAGGGCAGTTCAACGGAGTGAATATAGTCTGTTAAAAATGCCTAAATTGATTATTTACTTCTTCTCTTTCTTTCTTGTCCAAGTACCCTTTCACATAATCATAACTTTATCTTGTTTTTTTCTCTCTCTTGCATTGTTTTTTTTCCTTTTGTGGAATCCCTCCCTTTCAAATGCATTCTAACCATTCTAATGCACTCTTTGCCACAGTCATCAGTTGCTTTTTCAACATTCTTTTGGCCCATGTTATTAGCAAGCCAGGTACTTCACGCTCTGTAATTAAAACTGTTATTTCTTTTTCCTAAAGGCAGCATGTAGCCTCTGGACTTTATTCTGGCCTTTATAACTAAAAAGTGCTGGCACATTTAACTTTCCTTTATTTCCTAACTTTGAGATAAAAAAAAACCCAAGATGTTAGTGAAATGTCACACTAGGCCTAATAAAGTGTTAATAATAATCTCCCCCTCCACCCCAAACACCAAAGCTATAAATCACAACCCTAGTTACGGTAATCCAAGTTCTCCAAAATGTAAGTGGAACACAGCCACCAAAATGTAATACCCCTAACCTAAGTGAGAACGCTTCATTGCCTCAATTAAACTCATTCTGTCACTTTTAGCCCATTTCCCAAGTTTATTACTTTTTTAAAAATCTTAAGGTATTAGCTATTCATTACAGTTTTATGTTGTCAACTAAATAAACATTCACTGGACTATAACTCCAAACTCACTGTCCAAAAAAGCAATGCCTTCTGCATTTAATCTACAGTACTACTCAATAAATGAAAATAAAACGTGCATAAGCGCACCATCGTGCCTACTGTCCCTGTCCTATTGTCCCCAATTATTAGTTCCAATTTCTTACATTTAAACTTATGTTTATTCTTATTTCTATTGTATTGTAAGCGTTTGACAAAATAAACAAATTTAAAAAAAACAATACATAAAATGAAATCAACAAAATGATTGCAGGACTCCACAATCTACACAATTAGATAACAGTTTCAAGAACTAAGGTTAAAAGACGCAACATGTTTTCAAAAACCAAGGGGAGTAGGATCCAAAGGTAACTTTAAAAGAGTGCTTATTTCACATTTGATCTGGCACAAGGAAAGTCC